GTTGGGAGCCAGCAGTCCTGGATTGTGAGAGGGACATCCCTCGAGGGGTCTCAGATTGGAGAGGGTGCAGGCTGGGCTGAGGGACACCCCCCCCCCTTGCACAAATTTCATGCACAGGGCCTAGTTAAAAAATATTACACAATCTCTAAGTTATAGAACTTTACCCAGTATATATGACCTTCTAAAATCTTTCAGAATTCCATGACTTCTCTCCCTCTAATTCTATGCATGCATTCAGATCCATCCTTCAAGTATATAAGTACCTGATCAGATTCTTTATAAAGTGTTCTGATAGTTGAGAATTTAAGGACATTCAGTCTACATGTCAGTCAAATACAATTTCCCTTAATATCCTTTACATAATTTCTGAATAGAATCTATTTGTGATATCCATATTGTCTAATTGAGCATATAATAATTTTAACAAGTCATTGTTCAAATCAAGAAAATATTTCATTGTTTGCTCAATTATTTCATTTTCTGGTATAATTTTTCTTCCCCTGGGCTTTAAGGAGTATAGCACCATGTTTAAGATCATGTGCTATGAATAGATATCTGTACATGATTACTGGCTCTGCCACTTAGCAGCGATGTGATTTGGGAATGCTTACACAACTTCTGAGCCTTAATTTCTTTGTCTATAAAATAGCGAAGACTAAGCCTCTATATATGGTAGCTATTATCATTGTTATTCATCATAATATAATTTAAAATGCTAACATTTAAGCAGAGTTTAGTCTGGCAGGATAGGACAAGAAGAAATTAAATGTGATTATAATTAACAACAAATACACACAAGAAAGTAAATGTGGCAAGTAGCATTGCTACTCTATTCTAAACATATCCCTACTTTTATTTAAATGAATAAAGCTAATTGTTAGATAAGAATCCCTGACGCAGCCGCTTTTGAATGGCCCTGAGTGGGGCTCGGCCAGGGAGCCCGGGGACTCTCTAGGCTTCCGGGCGCAGTTGGTCAGCGCCAGGGCTCGACTGAGGTGCCACGGTACGATGAGGCACCAGTATTTAAGAGATTATGGCATCTGAAACCCACAATGTTAAAAAACGGAACTTTTATAATAATATTGAGGATCATTCCATTGATCGTCCTAGAAAAAGGATCTCTAATTTCACTAATAAGAACATGAAGGAGGTTAAGAAATCTCCAAAACAGTTGGCTGCTTAGATAAATAGAACAGTTGGACACGCTGTTAAAAGTCCAGATAAACTACGTAAGGTGATATACCACAGAAAGAAAGTTCATTATCCTTTTCCAAATTCTTGTTTTAAAAAGAAACAGTCCCCTAGAAGTGGGGGCTGTGACATGGCAAATAAAGAAAATGAACTGGCTTGTGCAGGCCACCTGCCTGAAAAATTACACCATGATAGTCGAACATATTTGCTTAACTCCAGTGATTCTGGTTCTTCACAGACAGAAAGCGCATCATCAAAATACAGTGGGTTTTTTCTGAGGTTTCTCAGGATCATGAAACAATGGCATAAGTTTTGTTCAGCAGGAATTTGAGATTGAATGTAGCTTTAACTTTCTGGAAAAAGAGAAGTATAAGTGAACTTGTAGCTTATTTGGTGAGGATGGAAGACCTTGGAGTGGTGGTGGATTGCCTTCCTGTGCTTACCAATAGTTTATAGGGAGAAAAACAATACATCTTACTCGGCTGCTGTGTAGACTTGTTGCCCCTTGTAAAGTCACTACTTAAAAGCAAATTTGAAGAATATATAATAGTTGGTTTAAACTGGCTTCAAGCAGTCATAAAAAGGTGGTGGTCAGAAATGTCGTCCAAAACAGAAATTATAAATGATGGAAATATTCAGATTTTAAAACAACAATTAAGCAGATTGTGGGAACAAGAAAACCATTTTACTTTGGTTCCAGGATATACTGGCAATATAGCTAAGGATGTAGATGCTTATTACAGTTGCATTCAAAGACTTCATCTACTAAAGAGCATTTGGTTATTCAAAACATCCCTGGACTATATGATTTCCAAACAAGTCTCATTGGAGAACTGTGAACTATGAAAGAAATCAAAACCGTTTTCTTCTAAAGCCACATATGAAACCAATAACAAAACCCTAGCAATCTACTTCACATTGAAGTGGAAAAATATCCGAAAGGAGCAGCTTCAACTTTAATAAGGTGAAAGTGCACTATGAAGATTGTTCACCTTTGCTGCATTTGGGATTTATATGGTTACTTGGCAACACTGTTGAAGAACTACTGAATCTTAATGCAATCCTTCATAAGAATATACTTTATACTATGTGAAAAAATAAGATAAAATTATTACTAAGAAAAGCAATGACCAATCATCATTACTTTTTTTAAGATTGTGTTTTATAAGAAAACAAATGTGTGCAGCTATTTTCTTATGTTGAAAGACTTTAAAAGTTTTAAACATCATAGCAAATAATACTAAAAGTTTTTTTGTCCACACTGAGATACTGTGTAAACAAAATGCCTTAATTATTAATAAGCCAATGTATATGATACCAAGATCTGTTTTAAAAAAAAGTAAAACCAACCATGCTTCTGGCATGAAAGTTATGGAATTAAATCAGGGGTTTCCATTCATGTGGAATATTGTTAAAACTTATTCCACACCATCTTTAAAACTTGAGAATATTTTTAATATCTCTGAAATTGTTTTGCCAGAATCGTCATGCCATGTATATATGTGTTATTCTTATATAAAAGAAAGAGGTGAATATGTAAAAAAAAAAAAAAAAGAATCCCTGCCAATCTAGGGAGCTTGCACTCTATCCTATAGGTAAAGGAAAGCCACTCAGGGTTTTAAGATATATGCTTTTTTTAAAGGCCATATGTCTTTCTGTACCACCTCAACTCTCCTTCCCAAGGTACACAGAAGGCCATCAATTAGGTTGTGAGTTGACAGCCATGGCCTCCAGGGCAAATCCAGCCTGCTGACTGATTTTGCAAATAAAGTTTTATTAGAACACAGCCATTCTCATTCCTTTATCTATTGTCTATGGCTGCTTTTGCATTGTAATGGCAGAGTTCAGTAGTTGCAATAGAGAGCACCATGGCTGCAAAATTTAATCTATTTCCCATGCTGCTATGTACAGTTAGATTCCTACACCAGGTTATTAAAACTGGAATTCTTTGGGAATGGATGGAGGCGTAGTAAACAGAAACTTTTGAGCTTTGATGTGGAGTTGAAAGATTGCACAGGGAGAGAAAAACAGCTTCTCTCTTTCTTGAGCACAGTTTAAGGGCATATTTTTAATACATGTCATTTTACTATGGATATTTTAAAATAGAATATTTTAGACATCTGCTTTGCTCTCCACCCTAGGAACTCACCATACTTCATTGCTGGGGACACTTAGTCCTTGGAAGCAGGAGGACGGAAGTCAGACAGAGCCTCCACCTAACACTTGAGTTTCTCTAATAGATTTTTTGTCTTTTATCTCTACCTTGTCTTTCTATAAAAGTTCTCCCTCCCCTGCACCTTCTGCATGCAATCAATCATCAAATGCTGTTGATTTTATCTTCTAGTTCCTGACTCTACCTGTTCCTTTCTTACAGACATAGCCCAGGCATGCACCACCTTTCCCCTAGACAACAGCAACATTTCATAACCTGGCCTCTAGGATTCTCCCATGTAATCCTTCTCCATGCTGCCCTCGGAGAGGTATATGGAAAATGAAATTCTGTGTATGCCACTTTGGAGCTTAAAATTCTCCAGTGACTCCACATTTCAAATAGGATAAAAATCCAAGATCCCTACTATGGCTTACAAAAATCCTTTTGGCCTACGTTTTCTAGCCTTATCATCATCTACTTCAATCCATCTCTACCTCTCAGACTTCTTGCTTCACTAACACTTGTTTATTTGTACTTTCTTAAACAGGCCATTATGTTAGCCTGGGCTAGGTGCAGAGGCTATAACATTTGAAATGTTGCAATTTGATTGTCTTCCATTTAGATGGGGAATTGCTATTCATCTTTTATATCCCTCTCTGTGACTTTCTCTAACTCCTAGTTAGATTTCATGGCCCCTCTGTATTACATCTGTAGTTTGGATATTATCTATTATTACATATACCACACTATACTGCCATTTGTTGACACATTTTTCTCCTTTACTAAACGGTGATTTATTCAGGGATGACAAGGACTGCGTTTTAGTCAAATCTGAATCCTTAGTTCAAGGCATGGAGGAGAAGCTCAATATACAGTATATTTTAATGATTGGCAGACCTTTAAAAACTGTATGTTGTACAAATGTTGAATATAAATATAATAATTTTACTTTTACTTTTATTCCAGTTCTGTGTCTCACACCTTGTCTCCCTTTCACCACCTCCCTATAAGATAGACTTTCTCCTGAACCCCAGTCCTTGTGGCTGAATCCCACTAGATCTGTTTTTGTATATCTCTGTCATAAACAATCTCTTTCCTAAGACTGCCAAGCAATTGCACTACCCTGATTTGTGCTCTACCAGCCTATGGAACTCCCACTTTCAGCCCATTTGCCACTGGCCTTTACTGATGCCAATTTTCTACAGCCAGACTCTAGCGTTTCTGAAGTATCTTTCTAACTGCTGGAACCTTTTTTGGTCAACTGTCATGTTCTGGAAAGTCTATCTAATGTTACGTTTTGGCAGTGTTGCATTTGCCAATTAAGCCCCAGTTCTGAGAGTTCTCATAAAGGGGTCAATTAAGAGTAGTTAGTTGTCAACTTTTAATTCTCCATGCCCTTATAAACCAGAAGTTAGCCTAAAGGGTAAAGAGTTTCGTGTGGTTAAAAAATATTAAAAATGGCTAATTATATTGTCACTTGGTTTCCTTACATTGGAAAGTACAAAGAGGACAACCTGAGTTATTTAAGATATGCCTATGTTTATTTAACATACATTCACACAAAATAAAATAAATATTTTGGCAATTCAGCAGCTAAATGCACTTAGGATATATCCACATTTACAAGACAAAGGTAGCATAGCACACTAGATGAATGCACAAGCACTAGGGTCGAACAATATTTGAGGTTAAATCTTGGCTCAAAAACTTATCAGCTAAGTTATCTTTGGGCGAGTTATTTAGCCCCTTTGGGCCTTAGCTTCCTTATTTGTAAAATGGGGACCATGGATATTTACCTCATAGGGTTGTTATGCGGACCAAATAAGATACTATATATGAGATGTTTAGGATAGTGTCTAGCACACAGAAAATGCTCAATGAATGGCAACTTCAGAAAATGATACCTAAAATTGCCCTCTCCCGCAATGGCAGAAGTTAATGATACTGATAGTTCATATGACCTATAAAGCTGATCTTCAACTTAAAAATGTGCCAAAAATCCTAAGTGAGTTGCTAATCTATCCATAAAAACAATGTTCTAAATGGTGATTAGGTTGCCAATCCAGCCCAAACTAGCCAATTTAACTCATTTTATACTTGAAATATAATACAAAGAGTATAGTACTATTTAACTATTATTGTTCCCATGGTAGTGACAGCTACTAGGGCAGTGGTTGGCAAACTGTGGCTCACGAGCCACATGCGGCTCTTTGGCCCCTTGAGTGTGGCTCTTCCTAAGCCTTAGGAGTACCCTAATTAAGTTAATAACAATGTACCTACCTATATAGTTTAAGTTTAAAAAATTTTGCTCTCAAAATAAATTTCAATCGTTGTACTGTTGATATTTGGCTCTGATATTTGCCGACCACTGTACTAGGGGATGGGGGCCCATGAGGAGGAGTGAGCTATCATTGCCTTGGAAGTAGGGGCCCATAGACAAGTCTGTTCATCAGTATGTGTGGGTAAATGATACAACAGCTGTATTAAGAGAGATCATATATTAAGCTCAGAAAAAAACGTAATATAAACTACAAAAACTAGCAAGTCACAGAAAGAATCACAGCTATCATTGTGGTGATAATAGGGAATGTCTTAGTGTCCTCTGGCACACAACTTTAATTTGTGAGTATCAAACAGAGATCATTTGATATTTTTAGCATGTCTTCAAATCATAAATAGTTCCATATGAACACAAGGAAGATAGGTCTATGTTTTTCAACATCTATACATTTGCAAATAAGAAAAGCAGATGCAGCCTGGCTGGCATGGCTCAGTGGTTGAGTGTCACCCTATGAACCAAGAGGTAATGGTTTGATTCCAAGTCAGGGCATATGCCTGGGTTGTGGGCTCAATACTCAGTGTGGGTTGTGCAGGAGGCAGCCAATCAATGCAATGATTCTCACTCATCATTGATGTTTCTCTCTCTC